AAGGAAGTAATATACTACTATTTTTGCTACATTTCCCTTATAATACTAGAGTGTCTAAAGTTCTGCCTGAATGAAGTCCTTATATATATATATATTTTTTTTAAATTTGTTTTTGGCTGCATTGGGTCTTCATTGCTCACATGGGCTTTCTCTGGTTGCAGGGGTGTGGGTAGTGGTGTGGCGGGGTGTGAGGAGGGCGGCTACCTTTCATTTCACTGCAGCAGCTTCTCATTGCAGTGACTCCTCATTGCTCAGCATGGGCTCTAGATGTGTGGGCTCAATAATTGTTGTGCACCAGCCTAGGCGCTCTGCTGCATTTGGGTCTTCCCGAACAAGGGATCAAACCCATATCCCCTTCATTGGCAGGTAGATTCTTAACAATTGGACCATCAGGGAAGTCCCCTAATATGGTTTAAAAGACATTTGATAACTGTACATCATATCAAGAATATAAAATATTTATATGTAGGTAGATTTGTATATTTATGTGTATGTGGATGTATGTTTTGATCATACCTATTGATAGTTTTATTTAGTTAAATACCCCTAAATCCTGGATATCTTCCACCAACAAACATAAATTTCAAGATTTCTGACTTACTATAAGTGCTTTTATTTAAATTTTTTCTTGTCAATGAATCCATGGAGGTAACATAAAGTTGTAGATAATATTTACTGAATTACGTAAACAGAAAATAATTTTTAGAAGTGTCGTTCTTAGGTAAATATTCTGTGTAAACTCATCTTTTACCCACTTCACCTTTGATCTGTGTAGACAATAATGTGATCAGTGTAAAAGTCATGAGTACAAAAAAAGTGGATTAATCCTCTCCCCTCCATGCAATATAGTTAAGTGGAATAGATGAAAGATTAAACTCTGTTCTCAACAATAGAGGAGGAGGAGGATTGAAAAGAATTTAGAAAATTAAAAATTTATTGAAACATCTACATTATTTTCTTAAAGGGCAAGTACAAAATAGTTGAAAATATAGCTTTACCTATGAATGGAAATAATCTACTTAGAGGGGACAAATCAATATTCAAGCACACACACGAAAATTAAAAAACAGCTTGACTTATTTTCTGAACATACATATTTTGGATTTATCTTTTATGCCCCTTCCCCCCTTACACATAACTTGTATTGTTAAGAAAGAACTCAAATTTAAACTGAGCTGTCATTACTTACTGGGCGCCTGCTCTTTGCTAGACACTGGACTAGTGTTATATATGCCTTAGAGCTGGTGTGTCACTCAGTCGTGTCCTACTCTTTGCAATCCCATTGACTGCAGCACGCCAGACTTCTCTGTCCTCTACTATTTCCCAGAGTTTGCTCAAGTTCATGTCCATTGAGTCAGTGATGCCATCCAACCATCTCATCCTCTGTCGTCCCCTTCTCCTCCTGCCTTCAGTCTTTCCCAGCATCAGCGTCTTTTCCAAAGAGTCGGCTCTTCACATCAGGTAGCCAAAGCATTGGCGCTTCAGCATAGGCTCTTCCAATGAATATTCATAGTTGCTTTCTTTTAGGTTTAACTGGCTTGATCTCCTTGCTGCCCAAGAGACTCTCAAGAGTCTTCTCCAGTACCACAGTTTGAAAGCATCAATTATTTGTGCTCAGCCTTTTTTAATGCCTAATAGTATTACTTCTATATAAGAATGTATCATTGAAACACATACTGTTTTGACACCACCTTCTAAATAGCAAACTTGTGTTTAGAAAGGCTAGTAAATTGGTGTAAGATTAAAAGCTGATAATTGTTGGATCTGAGGTGTGAGCCCATATCCATTGTGTTTTACTATTTTAATTTTTTTGTAAATTGACTGTATTTTTTAAGAGCAGTTTTAGGTTTACAGCAAAATTGAAGGCAAGGTACAAGATTTCTTTTATACATCTTGCCTTCACCCATGCATAGCTTCCCCTATGATGAACATTCCCTACCAGAACAGAACATCTGCTACAACTGATGAACCTACATTGACTCACTATAATTACCCAAAGTCCATAGATTATATTATTAGTTCACTCTTGGAGTTGCATATTGTGTTGGTTAGTACAAATGTATAATGGAGATGTGTCCATCATTATGGTCTCATACAGGGTATTTTGCTGCAAATCCTTTGTTCCACCTATTCATGCTTCCCCCTGCCGTTAACCTCTGGCAACCACTGACCTTTTTGTTGTCCTCTTAGTTTAGCCTTTTTCAGAATGTCATTTTGGTGACATTGTATAGTTTGTAGCCTTTTCAGATTGGCTTCTTATGTTTTTTTAAAGGTTGTAAACTTTTTAAGATTTTTGAACATTTCTAGAAAATCGCTGAACTTGATTCTAAAGTTCAAAGACTACAGAAGAAGACATGTTAGATAGGTGGTTATCTGCGTCTGGCAGACCCACTAAGTGTGGGTTGTAAGCACCAAAGCAGCTGGAAAATAAAAAAGATAAGTCTGTTTCCTCTTATTCCTGTATATCAGATCATTTTCGTAACCAATGCGGTGAACTCTTGTATTAGAAATTGCCTCTGAACCTGGATGGTTGGCTGCAAAGGAGGAGAAACAATTGTTTGGTTCTTGACTTGGACACTAAGTTGGAATTTAGTTGCCTTTCTTCTACTCTTCCCCACTCCCCCTTTCTTTTCTTTTATTTTTTTGTCTCTTCCTCCTTTTAAAATTTCCTTTTGGCAAACACTTAGATATTTATTATAGCCCCCGAGATTCTGCTTTAAAGGCTGGCCAGCCTAGGTGGGCTGAGGATGGGGCAGGGGTCCTTCTGGGGTGTCCAAGCCGCCGCAGAGCTGGGACAAGGTCCTGCTCAGACCTGTCCCTGATTTCCTCTGCAGACATCAGCACTTGATGGAGCTCCTTGGTGTCCAGGGCTCCTTGAGGGCGGCACAGATGTCCCAGATGGCCTGGAGGCTGGGAGTAGGGTGCTGGACCCATCTGCCCAGCTGCTGTCTTTTCTCCATCCATTCTTCACACTTGTTTCAGCCTCAGGGCAACAGCTCCTGCACAGATGGGCTTGTTCTAGAGAGCTCCCGCATGGAGGGTGAGGAGTGGGCGGAGAGCAGACAGCCTGGTGGCCCCTGATTCAGGGTCCCCTGGGATTCTGCAGGGGCGATTCCATGGGGCGTAGCCCTAGAGTCCCACCAGACCCCGTATCAAGAGGGCCAAGTGGAGAGCAGATTCCTGATTGTCCTCTGCGCCCTCCACAAGGAAGCCGTGGGCCGCTTGGGAGATGGAGACAGCTGGCGGCAGCCAGGCTCTGCTACCCTTGCACTCACTCAGAGCCAGGGGATGCGGCGTGGCCGCAGGAATAGCGCTCCCAGGAGTGGCCTTGGGTGCCACCTCCTGCACTCAACCACGTGGTCCTGGACTAGCTTTCTAGGCTTCGATGCTGGGGCGCCGGGCCTGGTCTCCTGCGCCACCCACATGAGGCCCCCAAGTGCCGCTTGCGTAGCCTGTGGGTGCCGGGCAGCCGCTTGACTCCTAGGCCTGTGCGTGGCAATATTGGTTCTGCTGAGGTCCACTCCACACACAGCGGAATCTGTGCTTCAGGCCTGGCCCCACGGTGAGTTCTTTGTAGTCAAATGTAGGATGGCTTTGATGACGCATCATTTCATAACCTAGTACAGCTCATAGAAATGAAGGATCTCTCAAAGGTTTCTCGCAAATGATGGCTTTAAACATATATGTGTATATATATGTCACACATTATGAACAAAATAACAAGCATATTATTTAAGGGTCAGTGCCATTGGTTGGTGGTTTTGTAATTTATTCTGCAGAAGGTCAGCAAAGAACCTAGGAATTAGTGTTTTTCACCAGAGCATATGACTGCCACACCCAGTTATTACTGAAGTAAATTTGACTTTCTTTTCTAGATAACATTAAGAAGAAGGTGTGTTTTGTCCCTTCAAGCATGGCTTTTCATTGAAAGTATTTTTTAAATCAGTTTGGAACTCTATAGCTAATATTGAATACATCTGGTTGTCTAATAGATGACTCATAATTGTTAGCTTAGGATAATCTATGTTTTTAATTCAACCTAGTCTGAATAAATGCTTTTTTGTAGTGAGTGCCCATGGTCAGAAATTGATTAATTGAACTCTGGGAAAATTACTTATGCATTTTTTGTGCTTTGGGGGTCGTTTAGATGTCACTGATATACTCTCTATAGAGGAAAAAAAATTATAGCATTTTTTTTTTCATTTATTTTTATTAGTTGGAGGCTAGTTACTTTACATCATTGCAGTGGTTTTTGTCATACATTGAAATGAATTAGCCATGGATTTACATGTATTCCCCATCCTGGTCCCCCCTCCCACCTCCCTCTCCACCCGATCCCTCTGGGTCTTCCCAGTGCACCAGGCCCGAGCACTTGTCTCATGCACCCAACCTGGGCTGGTGATCTGTTTCACCCTAGATAATATACGTGTTTCGATGCTGTTCTCTTGAAACATCCCACCCTCGCCTTCTCTCAGAGTCCACAAGTCTGTTCTATACATCGGAGTCTCTTTTTCTGTTTTGCATATAGGGTTATCGTTACCATCTTTCTAAATTCCATATATATGTGTTAGTATACTGTAATGGTCTTTATCTTTCTGGCTTACTTCGCTCTGTATAATGGGCTCCAGTTTCATCCATCTCATTAGAACTGATTCAAATGAATTCTTTTTAATGGCTGAGTAATATTCCATGGTGTATATGTACCACAGCTTCCTCATCCATTCGTCTGCTGATGGGCATCTAGACTGCACCTATGGTTCTTTGTATATGGAAACATACAACCGACATCCGGCCGCAGTGCTCACCCGCCCTCAAACTCTGCAGCCAACCTCCGCAGTAGGCGGGGGCAGCTTGATCAGCCCCAACCCAGCCTTCAGAAACGACTCTCAACGTTGGCGGCGCGACCGGAAGTGACGTCAAGCTGCGACGCCAGCGCCTGCGGAGGCATTTGGTCAATCTGGAGACGGCGTCTTTCACCGGATGGTTGCTAGAGTGGGCTCATGACGGGAAAGAAGTCTTCCAGGGAGAAGCGGCGCAAACGAAGCGGTCAGGAGGAGGCGGCGGCGGCCCTCGCGGCGCCGGACCTGGTCCCCGCCGTAGGCAGCAGTGGCAGTGGAAGCACCAGCGGCTGCGGGAGCGCAAGCGGCTGCGGGAGCGTCACCTGCTGTGGGAGCACTAGCGCGAGTGGAAGTGTCACTGGCGGCGGGAGCGGCAGCAGCTGCTGGGGTGGCAGCAGCGTGGAGCGCGGTGAGCGTGGGAAGCGGAGAAGCACTGACTCATCTTCCAGCGTCGCCGGCTCTCTGCAGCAGGTGCGTGCGCGTCTTTCTCGCCGCTTCTCGAAGCGGCCGCGTTTTCAGAAGGCTGGCGAAGAGCGGGATGTGACTATGGGATGCGTAGCCTGGCGTCGCTCCTGTTAGCGCTGCGGTCCTACAGGATCCGGTGATGAAGTGCACGTTCCTAAGTTCCCTTGAACCCCACACTCCCACGACTTGAATTTAAAATTTCTGGCTTTGCTGATCGTCTGACCCATGTTGCCTTTAGCTCCTTCCACTCCTGTGGTCACCTTTCAGTTCAGTTAAGTTCAGTCGCTCAGTCGTGTCCGACTCTTTGCGAACCCATGAATCGCAGCACGCCAGGCCTCCCTGTCCATCACCAATTCCTGGAGTTTACTCAAACTCAATGTCCATCGCGTTGGTGATGCCATCCAGCCATCTCATCCTCTGTCGTCCCTTCTCCTCTTGCCCCCAATCCCTCCCAGCAACAGGGTCTTTTCCAATGAGTCAACTCTTCACATGAGGTCGCCAAAGTCTTGGAGTTTCAGCTTCAGCATCAGTCCTTCCAATGAACACCCAGGACTGATCTCCTTTAGGATGGACTGGTTGGATCTCCTTGCAGGGTGGGCACCTTAGCCTCCCTGAAAAGTTTGGTTCAGGAACTAGCCTTCAGTGCCCTTGCAAGCCCCGCTTTACTTCTCTTCATCTACTTGATACAAGATGAGAAAATTGAGGATCAAAGAGATTAAGGACGTTTACCCGTAGTTAGCAATTTGTTAATAACACCTACATTCGAATCCAATATGTGATTATAAAAGCCCTCTTTACTGTGGTACATATATACACAATGGAATATTACTCAGATATTAAAAAGAATGCATTTGAATCAGTTCTAATGAAGTGGATGAAACTGGAGCCTATTATACAGAGCGAAGTAAGTCAGAAAGGAAAACACCAATACAGTATATTAACGCATATATATGAAGTTTAGAAAGATGGTAACGATGGCCCTATATACGAGACAGCAAGAGAGACACAGATGTAAAGAACAGACTGTTGGACTCTGTGGGAGAAAGTGAGGGTGGGATGATTTGAGAGAATAGCATTGAAACATGTATATAATCATGTGTGAACTAGATCACCAGTCCAGGTTCGATGCATGAGGCAGGGTGCTCAGGGCTGGTGCACTGGGATGACCCAGAGGGATGGGATGGGGAGGGAGGTGGGAGGGAGGGTCAGGATGGGGGACACATGTACACCCATGGCTGATTCATGTGAATGTATGGCAAAAACCACCACAGTATTGTGAAGTAATTAGCCTCCAATTAAAATAAATAAAAAAACAAAAGAAATAAAACCCCTCTTTATGCCCCTTCGACCTGGCAAAATACTGCCGTTTAAAAAAAAAAAGTTTACTCACATTATAAGATGCAGGAAAAAAATAAAAACACAAAAAAACCAGTTACAGGACTGCATGCTTTAAATACATACAACACAAATGATGGGAAATGGAAGGCTTTCTTTATGCTTCCTCATTAATTGTTTGATACGCAGCCCCTTCGTTAACTCATCAGCCGTGATATTTCTTATTTTTTGTTATTTTTGCATTATCTAAGGCTTTTTTCTTTTTTTTCAATCTTTTAGTGTAGTGTTGAACACAGGCATTCATAGCAGGCATTCTTTTCCCATTCCTTTTTGTAGTAGAAACAGTTTTTTTAATTTTATACCAGTAAGTGTATTTGTCATAGGTTCTGAAAGATATCTGATCAAGTTAAGAAAATTTTTAATTTCTGGTTTTCTGAGATTTTGTGGAGTTTTATCAGATACCTTTAGGGCATTCTGTTGAGGGATCATACAGTTTTCTTCCTTTAATATGATAATTAATTTTATTGATAAATTGAATTGTCCTTGCTTTTTGAGATAAATCCTATTTGATTTGTTGATTTGGTGGTTGTACTTGACAGTAATTCAGTATTTTTATTAAATACTTTTGTGTTTATGTTAAGTTAAATCAGGTTATGGTTTTTATTTTTGTAGTTACCCTGTTTTGTTTTTGTATTGAGCTATGGATTGAGTTGGGAAAATGTAACAGTTTTTTTTTTTTCATGTATTCTAGAGTAGTTTATATCTTTCTCTCAAGAGTGTACTTGACTGTTGGACCCTACAGCTGTTTGGGTCTGGTAGATTTTTCTAGGGGTAGTGTTTTTTTCCTTAATGCCTCTCATCTTTTTTTCTTCCCCACTTTCTTTGATAGTTATAGGTATATTCAGTTTTTCTAGATTTAGTTTTGGATCAGTTCAGTTCAGTCAGTCAGTTGTATCCTACTCTTTGTGACCCCATGGACTGCAGCACACCAGGCTTCCCTTTCCATCACCAACTCCTAGAGCTTGCTCAAACTCATGTCCATCGAGTCGGTGATACCATCCAGCCATCTCATCCTCCGTCATTCTCCTCCTGCCTTCAATTTTTCCCAGCGTCGGGGTCTTTTCCAGTGAGTCAGTTCTTTGCTTCAAGTGGCCAAAGTTTTGGAGTTTCAGCTTCAACATCAGTCTTTTCAATGAATATTTGGGACTGATTTCCTTCAGTATTGACTGGTTGGAGCTCCTTGCAATCCAAGGGACTCTCAAGAGTCTTCTCCAACACCATAGTTGAAAAGCATCAATACTTCGATGCTCAGCTTTCTTTATGGTCCAACTCTCACATGCATACGTACTGGCAAAAACATAGCTTGGACTAGATGGACCTTTGTGGGCAAAGTGATGTCTCTGCTTTTTAATATGCTGTCTAGGTTTGTCATAGCTTTTCTTCTAAGGAGCAAGCATCATTTGATTTCATTTTTGGATATCACCATTCTTGCCTTAAATAGTTTGCGTATTTTTAGTACTCTATTATTATGAGAAGACCAGTAGTAAGGACTGTGTAAGTATTTGCATACAGAACTAAATTGTACTTTTATGAGAAGTAGTTCATTGGGAAGTCTTACAAATAGGGAGGATGATTGTGCATTTATAAAATCCATTTTGGTGACAGTATACAAAACGGATTGGCAAGACCTTTGATTAGATGTAGGGAGTCCAGTGTGTGTGAACTCACTCACTTAGTCGTGTCTGACTCTTTGTGGCCATGGACTGTAGCCCACCAGGCTCCTCTGTGCATGGGTTTTTCCAGGCAAGAATACAGCAGTGGTTTGCCATTTCCTGTCCCAGGGGAATCTCCTCCATCCAGGGATCGAACCTGCGTCTCTTGGCAGGCAGGTTCTTTATCACTCGTGCCACCTGGAGGTAATCTAGGCAAAAAGGATGTTGCCTTGGATCAGCATTCTGGCAGTAGACTTGAGAGACTGGATAGATTTGGAAAATAGGAGGCAAAGTTGATTGAATTATCTTAAATTACTTGCCTGCTTTGAATATGATTGGATATTTAACAGTTTTAAAAATGACAGTAGCTTCTGGCAAGCAGTGGTACTTAATTATATATGTGATTTGTAACATTTTGCTGCTGTTTCTTTTTAAGAATTAAGAAGAATGACCATACATACAAAAAATTCTTGGGTGAATGGTCTACTGGAGGAGTATCGTATTCTTCAGAAGTCTGAAATTGTAGGAAATTATTCAGTATTGAGTATATTTCCATTTGTGTGTTGTAAGATATTATTATTTCTTCACTTTTTATCAATTTGCTGATAATTACAGCCTGGAGAGTAATGTCAAAGAATACTGAGTAATTAAATAGTCTTTTCTGTGGTTTTAAATAACTGATTTATGCAACCAAAGAATTTGGAGATGTTTAATAAAGATTTTATTAAATGATGTATGACTTTATAGATGTATTTTTATTGTTTAATGGTTCTTTATGTCTTTTAATTTTAGGAGACCAAATATCTTTTGCCACCTGTGGAAAAAGAGTTATTCTTGGCAGAGCACAGTGACCTTGAAGAAGGTCGATTAGACCTGACTGTGGCATTAAAACCAGTTAGTTTCTGTATATCAGACAAAAAAGAAATGCTTCGGCAGTGTTTCTGTATCATAGGAGAGAAGAAGTTACAGAAGATGCTTCCTGATGTGTTAAAGGTACTTCATGACATACATTCGCAGGTTCCCCACTATATAGAAATATACAAAAACTTTCTTTGTAGCAGTCATTTTACTTAATGGAAATTATAATTGTGTGTTTTCAACTAAGCTACTTCAAAAAGATAAAGGGATTTTGCAGAACCATAATGGCTTTGTGTATTGAAAAATTTGCCAGAAAGAAATGGGACACTTGACCGTATTTAGGTAAGGAAGTTTTTGACCTTCTGGGAATAATTCTATTAAATATTGGCAATTTAAGTAACTAGGTTAGACATACACTGATTCTTTTCTTTTGCTTTAGGAAGTAGTATACTGCTGTGTAACAGTATGTAATAAAAGGAAGTAAGTGAAAGTGTTAGTCACTCTCATGTTAGACTCTTTGTGACCCCATGCACTGTAGCCCACCAGGCTCCTCTCTCCATGGAATTCTCCAGGCAAGAGTACTGGAGTGGGTTGCCATTTCCTTCTCCAGGGTATCTTCCCAATCCAGGGATTGAACCCCAGGTCTTCCACGTTGCAGGCAGACTCTACCAACTGAGTCATCAGGGAAGACCACAGTATGCAATGATAGTTGGTAATATCCTGTATTTCATTAAATTCATAAATGTTTTTCTATGTTTATTTCTGAAAATTACTCAGAAACATATGTGGTGTTGTAATTTTACTGATATGGAAAAAAGACTTGGACAAGTTAAACCCAATAACATATATATCTTAAGATGAATGGAGCCAGGGCTTGAATATTTAAGCCTTTAGTGGTATTAGCCTAACATAATTAGGAGAAGATTCTTGGGAGTCTCTTGGACTGCAAGGAGATCCAACCAGTCCATCCTAAAGGAAATCAATCCTGAATATTCACTGGAGGGACTGATGCTGAAGCTGAAACTCCAATACTTTGGCCACCTGATAAGAAGAGCTAACTCATTTGAAAAGACCCTGAGGCTGGGAATGATTGAGGGCAGGAAGAGAAGGGGATGACAGAGGATGAGATGGCTGGATGGCATCACCGACTCAACGGACATGGGTTTGGGTGAATTCCGCGAGTCGGTGATGGACAGGGAGGCCTGGCGTGCTGGGGTTCATGGAGTCACAAAGAGTCAGACACAACTGAGCGACTGAACTGAACTGAAATAGGCTGCTATTAACAGTATCTGGGCACCTGACTCACTCTTCAGTTTGTTCTTTCATAGTAAACATGACTTTATATATTCCAATTAAAACTATAAATTATAATGTTTGCTTGTTAACTGGCAGGTCTTCAGATTTTATCCCATAAAAAAGATTTTTGTGACTTTTCATTGGTTTGACTGCACAGCTTTGCTAAGCAAGACTTTTTTGTTTTTTAAATGCTTGTTGTTTTCTAGTTTACTTTGGTGCTGTATTATATAAATGCATTTTTTAAAATATCATTTTCTTTAGAACTGTTCAATAGAAGAAATTAAAAGACTTTGCCAGGAACAGCTAGAGCTCCTGTCTGAAAAAAAAATTTTGAAGATTCTTGAGGGTAAGAATGCATATTTCTACCTTCTGGTAACTTACTATAGATATTTAATCCTGTATTAGCATAAATCATGAGGTATTTTTACTTGACTTCAGCTTTATTCTTAGTCATTAATTAATTAATATTTTTACTTCTCTTTATACAAAATTATAGTTTATATCTTAGAATAGCATCTCTGGAATGGACTTTTTGATGTATGTGAGGTTTTTCCAAATCAGTTATATAGGTAAGAACTTTTAAGTTTGTGTGAAAAAAAAAAAGAAAAAAGTTTATCCAAAATTCTATAAAAAATTAATTATTAAGAAGGCAAAGACTTCTTTTAAGATATTTTTTAGTTTTTTGCTTTCTCATTGCTTCTAATTATCCATTGAATACCATTTCTGCTCTAATAAGAGCCAAATGCAGAGTTAGAATAATTTCTTGCAAATTCCTGACATTTGTCTGTCTGCCTAAAGTAAGACTCTTCTTTGTGATACATTACCTATAGAATTTTGTGTTTTTAAGCTGGGATTTTTTTTTTTTTGGACTCTTCAAGGATTTTAGTACTAGTGTTACAAGAGAAGGAACAAAAAAATGGAGACTTTCAATTTCTAGAGATAACATCTTTTAAAAATGTAAAATGGTTTAATGGAATTTGTAACTGATAAAAGATGTGTAGATGTGTGTATAGTCTGTAAGTATATATATGTATATATACACATTCTCATTTATATACATTTTGTGCATTTATAGAATAGATAAATAGGATAGATACCTAAAAAGACATTTTAAATATAATAATTAAAACTGTCATCTTTCAACAGCTATCAGGTTTCTTAATCTGTCATTTTATAGATGAAGCCTTATGTATAATGATAAGTTGCTCTGACTTTTTGTCTTATAAGCGTGTTTTCCGTTTTTTGTTTTTTAATGTCATTCACCAGGTGACAATGGTTTGGACTCTGAAATGGAAGAAGAAGCAGATGACGGCTCTAAGATGGTATCTGATTTAGTTAATCAGTAAGTTAAAAGCATTTATTGTAATTTCAGAATTGCTTTATCATTTCTGGTGATTTCTTACCTCAAGAATGTGATTTTTTTTCTGTGTTATAGTTATATAAAGAGATTCAACAATGTTGGATTGATTTTTTTACTTGTAGTGATTGGTCCTTTTGATTGGTGAGGATGGAATTAATTGCTTTGAGGATTAAGATAATTTTATTACACTACTGCTCAGAAACAGGACTGTAACAGTGCCAACACTGAAGCAGAATCACATCTCTCACTTGGAATTTGAATAGATATACTACTACTGACACCCACTGTTTATTAAGTACTTACTATAACAAACATGTTAATAGCTTAGAAGACTTTATCTCACTGAATTCTCCTACATACCTCTTAATGTTTGGTGATAATAGCTTCTTTTCATGGATCAGATAGTAAGCTGGTTCATTTGATATCAGTTCAGTCAGTTCAGTCGCTCAGTGGTGTCCAATTCTTTGCGACCCCATGGACTGCAGCATGCCAGGTTTCCCTGTCCATCACCAACCCCAGGAGCTTGCTCAAACTCATGTCCATCAAGTTGGTGATGCTATCCAACCACCTCATCCTCTGTCGTCCCCTTCTCTTGCCTTCAGTCTTGCCCAGCATCAGGGTTTTTTCCAATGAGTCAGTTCTTTGTTTGATATAGGTACATTTAATTTGACTATTGTGATGATGAAAAATAGCTGAAGTTTTTGAATGCCAACTAATTAAGAAGTGACATGCTAATTTTCTAGGCTATTTTGCTCTGCCGTGGGCTTATTAAACTTTCACCCACTAATTTTATCATCTGTTCTGATTTTTTACTAAAATATTTTTTTTGGTCATCACCAAAGACTGACTTGCATCTCTGTTTGCAAAGTTTGGCTGTAGACAGTAACCCAAATAAAAACATAACCAGAGACAGTAACATAAATCAGTAGCACATATTTAACCTGAAACCTGAGTATATTTTCATTTCTAATACAGTGCTATTGGGTAAGTATCACTGGAAAAAGACAATGTAATTTCATATTATAACTATAGAGAGAGCATCAGCTACTTATACTGGAGCACTGAGGAGATCATTGTATCTTGGCTGCCTCATAATCAGTAGATTTTTGGTCATCACATTCATCTTGCCTCGGAATGTCATAGGATGGTTTATACTTACCCACAAAGTATAAAATGTACACATTTCTACCGTCTTGCTATTGACTTTTCTTCAAAATATGTGGCTTTAAATTGCTTATGTATGCTCATCTAGTTTAGCTAGTTTAAGCCTGTCACTTTTTAGTTTTACATTTTAGTTTCTTAAATAATCTAAATTAATCATCTTGTTTCTTGATGCTTTTTACAGAGCATCAACTTTTGCTTGATTACTTTTGTTTTGCCTTTGTTTAAATGTGTTTATTTTTCCAATTTTTGAGGTGTTTTCAAGGTTAAGTCCTTTATTGTTCACACCTGAACACGAATGCTACTTTTCTACTGTTAGAAGCCATTTAATGGATATCTAATTAGATTAGAAATTTGTTTCTTTTTTAAAAAATTACAACAAAGTACAGTATTTGACTTCTGAACTTTTCTAATAAAAGAAAGGTGGTTAGATTCAAAGTGACTCTTGTGAAAAACCGAGTTTTACAATGTTACCATGAGACAGGTCATGTTAGCTTTTAACTGCTGCAGTGAGTAGGTTAAGCAATCACAGATATTACCCAAAATTGTCATAGTAGCCACTTGTGGACCTGATAAGTGTCAGATCATTGAGATTCTTTTGAGTTATTTGAGTATATAGGCTTTAAAAAAAATCATATTTGTAAGCTACAGGATGCCAAATAAATAATAATATTAAGAGTATTGTATGCCAGACACTGTTCTAATCACTGTACTTGCCTTCATTCACTCATTGGGTTTGTGCACTAGCCTTGTGAGGTGGGTGGTATTGGTATTATCATTTTACAGATGACAGATAAGGTCTAGAAAGATTTGTGTGCCTAAGATCACACAAATGAATGTGGAAGTAGAAGGAGTGTTAGTTACGAAGAGACTTTAAGTGTTCATGTAACAGGACCTGGCTTTAAAACACTTAATCTTCTCTAAAATCACTTTGTACATTTGTAAAATATGGGTAATACTTGGCCCCAATAGGATAATGGGGATTAAATGGTAGTGGAGTGGTAAAGAATCCACCTACCAGTGCCAGAGATGCAGGTTTAATCCCTGGGTCAGGAAGATCCGCTCGAGTAGGAAATGGCAATGCGCTTCAGTATTCTTGCTGGAGAGTTCCATGAACAGAGGAGCCTGGCGGGCCGTGATCCATGTGGTCACAAAGAATCAGACATGGCTGATGTGACTTGTTTGTTATTTAAAAATTTTTTTTTACTGTTTTGTTACTAATCTTAATTATGAATAGGGAGATACACTGCACTGTGAAACAGTGAAGGTGGGACAGGGAAATAATGTGGGGAAATGTGGGCCTTAGCCCACATTGCTGACTTGACAGTTTGCTGCTTGCTTTCTGCTCAGAGGTCAGTTCAGTCCTGTTAATTTCTTTTGAGTTGAACTGAACCTGGCGGGCACGCTCATATAAACTTCATTCCAGTGCTTCAGCAGAGGGTTAAGTTAGTTAACATGTTTGGTACTTGGTGCTGAAAAGTATCATGTTTTTTATTACCTGCTGGTTTTTTACTGTAAAAGATAACAGTAGTCTGACCTTTTTGGATGCTGAGGGAACAGTTATGAGTAGGCAAGAACCTTCAAGGAATTCAGCAATTTGGGAGAGGAAAATAAGGCTGAATACATTGAACAGATAGCTTCTGTGGAACACAGGATTAATAGGCAAGAGGAAAGGAAACCTTAGCAAAGTAATGATAACTCTCAAAGAAGTAGAGTTAGAACACAAATGTAGTTTCAGGAACTAAAACAATTCTGAATTCCTAAATTTAGGAGACAAACAACAGATTAGCCATGACTGGAGGCTAGCTACATCATTGTGCTAAGAAATTAAATTGAATGAATAAATAGAGAATAGTGAAGAGAAACCACACACAGAAAGTGTCAATCCTTATGTATAACTCGTGGTTACCTGGAAGACAGTTTTAGACCTATCTTGAACATCCTAGAAATCCTGGAAAGAGAAACAAATAGCTAGAAAAGAATTGAAGAAATGATAGAAGTAACATTTTTTAATTTAAAGATGTAAGACTGTAAGGACAAGGATAACGATCTGGTCATGAGTTGAATTGTGTCCCTCCAGAATTCATATATGGAAGTCCCTAACCCTTAGCACTTCAGAACATAACCTTATTTGGAGATTAGGTCTTTAAAGAGGTGATTTGTTTGTTGTTTAGTCCCTGAGTCATCTCTCATTCTTTTCCGACCCCATGGACTATACAGCTCGCCAGGCTCCTCTGTCCATGGGATTCTCCAGGCAAGAATATGGGAGTGGGTTTCCATTTCCTTTTCCAGGGATCTTCCCTACCCAAGGACTGAACCTGCGTCCCCTGCTTGGCAGGCAGATTCTTCACTACTGAGCCACTGGGAAGCCCAAAGAGGTGATTAGGTCAGCCCAGTCCGACTGGTGTCCTTATAAGACAAGGGAACTTGAGAGCCCTGAGAGGCTCCAGGGCTGGGCAGACACAGAGCAGAGCCGTGGGGACGCTGTCTGCAAGTCAGGGAGAGGCCTCAGAGGGAGCCACACCTGCAGACACCTTGATCTTCCACCTCCACCTTGCAGAACTGTGAGAAATACATTTTTATTGCTTAAGCCAGCCAGTCTTGGTATTTTGTTATGACAGCTCTAGCAGACAAATACAAACTTATATGTATATGTGTGTACGTGTGTAAATTTCCTGGTGAAACTTTTCCCCCGAACTTTTTATTTTGGAAAACTTGCAACTTATATTTTGGAGAGCTTTAAACTTATGTAAAATTGAAAGAATGATATGATGAACATCCATATACTTTCTGCCTAGATTCAGCAACAGTAAGATCTTGCCAGTTTTGCTTTCTCTCTCTTCTTACATTTATCCTTTTTCCCCAGGAACCATTTGTATTAGGTTGCTGGAGCTGCCAGAGCAGAGTACCATAGCCTGGCTGGGTTAAACAGCAGAAGCTTGTTTCCTCACCATTCTGGAGGAAAGTCCAGGATTAGGGAACTGACAGAGCTCTCTCCTCTGAGGCCTCTCTCCTTGACTTGCATATGGCCACCCTCTTGCTGCCTTTTCCCTTGGTTGACTTCCCTTGTGTGTCTCCCTGTTGTCTCTGTCTGTGTGCTGTTCTCCCCTTATAAGGTCACCAGTCACACTGGATTAGGGCCCACCATTATGGCCTTCAGTCCGTTAGGTTCAGTCGCTCAGTCGTGTCTGACTCTTTGCGACCTCATGGACTACAACACGCCAGGCTCTCCTGTCCATCACCAACTCCTGGAGCTTGCTCAAACTCATGTCCATCGAGTCGGTGATGTCATCCAACCATCTCTTCCTCTGTCGTCCCCTTCTCCTCCTGCCTTCAGTCTTTCCTAGCATCAGGGTCTTTTCTTTTTTTTTTTTTTAGGGTCTTTTCTAAGGAGTCAGTTGTTTGCATCAGGTGGCCAAAGTATTGGAGTCTCAGCTTTAGCATCAGTCCTTCCAATGAATATTCAGGACTAATTTCCTTTAGGATTGACTGGTTTGATCTCATTGCAATCTGAGGGACTCTCAAGAGTGTTCCCCAACACCATAGTTCAAGAGCATCAGTTCTTCAGCGCTCAGCTTTCTTTATGGTCCAACTCTCATATGCATACATGACTACTGGAAAAACCATAGCTTTGACTAGACAGACCATTGTTGGCAAAGTAATGTCTCTGCTTTTTAATATGCGGTCTAGGTTTGTTATAACATTTCTTCTAAGGAGCAAGCGTCTTTTAATTTCATGGCTACAGTCGCCATCTGCAGTGATTCTGGAGCCCAAGAAAGTAAAGTCTGTCACTGTTTCCACATCTATATGTGATGAAGTGA